TGCAAGGCATACTTCAATGTCGCTCAAACTTTGCAAGACATCTTAGCCATAGAACTCTTAGACCAGAAAGAAAACGTGTTTTGTACACGAGGTTGTCACGTCTCTTAGAAACCGCAACCGGTAGCACTCGCCGCACGCGGGCACCCAAAGGGTTGTCCAGGAATGCACTCTTAAAATTGGCGGTCGTTGCAACGAAGAGAACTACGTTGCTAAGATTCCGCTGCCTTTTTCGCTTGGCGCAGCTCGTCGTCTGCGGCCCGCCGATAATGCCTTCTCTTAGCATCTTTTTAGAACCCAGACGCACGTAACACACTAAAGAATCCCGCCGCCAAAGCGGCACCGGGAGATTGTAGGCTCGTTCTATTTAAATGCCCCTCCCGTACCGGTGCGGGAAAGTGTAGGACAGTGTACTTCCGGTATGTGCATAGAGATACGAGCGGAAGTACACCGCTCTACACTTTTTTGCACTTGTTCAAGAGGTGCTACTACTAAGTCGAACGAGCCCGGTGTTGCAAGGGGTGCGGTGTTGGTGGAGGGGGGATGAAAGGAGGGAGGGGAAAAAAATCCCCCTGCCAGAAACGACAAATACTTTACTAGTGGAAATACAAGCCCCCAACAGCGAACACAATAGGCTCGGCGCGGACAGGATGTCAGATATTTTGATGGCTGCGGGCAACAACGGCGTGGTTCCTTATTTTAACAGGCCGGTAACCGGTGCCATATCTCGAGTTGGTTGATTTGCTACCCGTCCCGTATTCGGTGTGCGTGCGGTTCGGTCGCGTAGCCCTGGTCTTTTCTAATCGGAAAATATTTTAACGGACTTTAAAATTTAGTTAAGATACGTTGAATCTCCAAGATACGTTAATTATTGCAGCAGTGCTTTTGCGTGTAATTAGTCGACATCACGCATTAGAGCTGTGCAGAATTAATGTTAAGGAAACTGGAGTGCCAGTGGCACGTTGAGTAAATAAGTAAACAGTGAAGTGGTTGGTAATGTGACACTTGCGAGAGCGTCCAAAAACGCCAGATGTTAGCGATTTTTTTAGAGGGGAATTCGTAAATGTTGCAGAGACAGTTCGCAAGCACGAAGGTGTTCGTTTTTGCAACCGGAAGAGGTATGTATTTTGTTCGATATCGTAGGACGATATCTTGGCTTTGTAATTTTGCCACTTAAGTTTCGCGTGGCGAAACGTGCCATTTACATTGTCGGCTGTATTTATCGCGAAACACAGCCGAGAATGGGAGCATTATTCATAAAAAATTTGCCTCATGATTTGTAAATAGTCAACAAGCTGTTAAATTGAAAATGTTGGATCTCAAACCAATTAGTAAAAAGAGTGAGTGCGCAAGCGAGCTGGTGGTTGCAAATGATATATTGTAACGCCCGAGACTGTGGTGAAGAAAATTAAGAAATTTTCGTCGAAGTGACAGACACAGAAAGGAACGTGAGCCGTTCGCTTCTGTGTCTTTTGCTTCGACTAAAAGTTATTAATTTTCTTCGGCACAGTCTCAGGTGTTATAAGATATTATTATCCTAAATAAACCAGTCTGGTTGAATTAATATTTTGGGGCGATTCCACGATACTTTATTCGGAACTCTGTTTAAGACTTATTTCACAAATGCACTTTGTCACACTTTGTTCAAAAATAAAGGATTCGTTTCTGGTTAAGTAGATATGAAGAATAGCTAACCATTGGCATAACACCAACCATTGCTCCACGGACGCAGATGCCGTTCCTGTCCGTGGATTTATTCAGTTCCGCGGTAACCACGTTCCCCGGAGGGGCATGGAGAGAGGCCGCGAGAACGAAAGAGCGAAAGGAAGTCGGCCCCCACAGCGGCCGAGGCAGTTGGCCCACGAGGGGAGGTTTTGACGCTGCCATCGCTCTCTCCAATGCAAATTAACTGAGTGGACTGTGTTCCTTTAGAGTAAAGCATTTGGAGACGACGTGGTTGTGCGAACGGCGACTACGAGAGGGAGAGAGCGACAGTGTGACGGGGCGCTACCGCTTTTGCAGGCGGAAGTGCACGAGGCGGCTCGTGCCGCATCATGCACTGCTCGCTCAGAGCTCCCACGAGGTCGTTGCACTTGCAAAACGTACTAAAGTTCACTGGGTGCATCGAGGCATCGGTGGTGGAATACAACTGGCTTGATGAGATCGGTCTAATTGTAGTGAACTGATGTCTATAATTCCTGAACGTGCCTCATGCAGCAAACGACAACATTGAGGAAACGAACACAGACGACACGAAGCATTCAAAACACTCGAGTCATTCACCTGCTGACAACTACACTGCTTTACATACCCTATTCACATGGGCGTACCAACCGGGGGGGGGGGGGGGGAGGCAAGGGGGGCGCTTGCCTCCCCAGTTCTCAGAGTTGGGGGGCAAGACATGTGTTTGCCCCCCCCCCTGAAACAACCGCCGTAGGCGGGGCAAACACTGGCCGGCGGCGCCCAAGAAATACCAAGGACACCGCCCCCCCCCCCCCTCCCCCCGACCCGCGGGGGCATACTTTGAACGCGCAGGCGATACAAACCCTAGCAACGGTGCTCACGTCGGATTGGTTGGTTCGTGGAGATAGGCGCTGCTGCCGTCAACATAGGCAGCAGTTACAATGCGAGTTTCCGTAGCGGAAGCATAACCTATAGTGGTTAGATACCTGCCTCATACCTATCAGACCCCGGTACTATCCATGGTGTGGGCTTACTTCTTTTATGTTTTTACCTTAAACAGTTTGTTTTGTCAAGACATTTGACGATATTTACGATATTTATTTTTTACAATTAACACACAAAAAAAAAACGAATGTTGTTGACGAAACATCGCTGAACTGAATCGCATGGGACTCTATTTACGAAGGTGCATGGGGGACAGCGGGGCTTGGGTTGCCGGCTGGACGCCGCAAAGCGGCGTGTACGGGGCAGGGGGGGGGGGGGGGGGTGAGAGGGTTAATGGTTTTGTAATTAGCCGCCGCACACTGTTGCCGCGAAGCGGCAAGAACGCAGACGCGAGGGTGGGTTAACGCGCGGGTTAAAGCGCTTCGAGTGATACACGCGCCTCCGAATCCGAAATTTAAGTTTCCGTGCGTTGCCGAGCAGCCAAAGCCAATCCGGCGTGAGCGTCGTTGCTAGGGGGTCAATCGCCTGCGCGGTAAAAGGAGCCAGTGTCCAAAGCGCAAGGTGAGCATACACATTTGGCCCTCTCCCCCACCCTCTTTTACAACGCTTACACACACACACGCTGTAAACGTTAGTGATGGACCGAATCTGCCGAACTTCAGATTCGGCAAAGTTCCGCACATGCCGAAATTTTGAAAGAAAGTTCGGCAAAAAAATTGGCAAATGTCTGCGCACGCGCACAAACACGACGGGGCCCTTGATCGCAAATGGACGCCGCGCAGTCGCTCGGTTACCATCGCACAGTTTAATACAACCAGCGGTTACGGCAAGGTGTGGAGTAGCCGACACGATAACTTTCCGTTTGTGAGCATTTGCGAGTGTGGTTCTCTTCAATATTTTCTACCTCAAGAACAGAAGATCGACCAGTAATTTAGTTCACCGCGCAAGTGACAAATGATGCGGTACATTCTTGATAGTGTGATTTTCATTTGACCTTTCCATTGATGCAACGAGGTAGTTGAAACATTGACTCACAACTGACAATTACTGCTTAGTGTGCGCAACCGACTGCCGACAAACGGGGCAGACTCACGAGAGCCTACCAGAATGTATGGGATGTTGCTGGCATCCTGGTCATAATGTAATAAATGTTTTCTCCCTTCTTTTCTTTCCTTTTTACGTACATTCTGTAGTGTGTATATTCTGTATATTTATTTCTCTGTTTTGTTTTTTTCATTTGTGGTGGGGGGCTGGCAGCAGATATGTCAGTACAAGCTACTCAAAAAAGTAATTAAGTTGAGTTACTGAGTATTAGCCTCAAAAGCAATTTGAGTAGAGTAGAAATTACTCAAATAGAAAGTAATGGAGTAAATTACTAATTACTGTAAAAAAGCAGGAAATTACTTTTGAAGTTACTTTTATTTTTTCTATGCTAACAAGGAAGTACTTACAAAGGTTTTGATGCTTTAGCGAAAATCTGTTACCCGAGTTTAAAGCGGCTTGTGTTTTCACATAAATGCTTTAATAGCTGGTTCTGCTTCAGCATGCCTAATTGTTGTGTACTTCTTTTTAGTCAAGGATGTACTGCGGATGTATCATTTTGCCTTTGAGGTTTAGCACTGACTGAGCTTGATTTTGCAGACAGTGTTTGATTGCTTACAGTGTTACGTAAAGTACGTCTAAAAACTACCTGGAAGTACAAAGTAAATGAGAGGTTATGCACTTCAACTAAAGTAGTAAGTGCACCGAATGCAATGTACTCGAAGTCAAGTACTATAAATACAATGTACTTCCAAAGTAAAGCTGATGTACTTTTTAACACACTCTTTCAGAATGCCTTTTCATTTCCTATACAACGTTTTTTTTATTTTATTTTTTATTTGGCCGGTTTGCATTGCTTTTGGGGCATTCGGAGGTGCATTAGTTTTCGGAAAGAACGGTGTGACGATTCGTTGTGGTCGTCAAGAGAAATGGGCTCCAAGCTCAGGATAGACATCTCAACCTCCGAGATTCCATGCACAACTTCCTTTTCCTTCATTATTTTGATCTCCTTCCCTCGCGCTCGCACGAGCCGCGCGAGTCGTCTTTTGCGGCTCGTCACATGCCAGGGTTTTAGAAACTGTCGACCCGACAGTGCGCTTTCATGAGACAAAAACAAAACAACATTACACAAATACCGCGCTCTGAGATATGCACGAGAGTGAATGAATATGTACGTACAAAATGCTAAATGAGAAGACACGCTATAAACAAGTGCACACACTATAAATTCCAAAAGTTCAGTCATCGGGCAGAGGCACTTCGATTCGCGGAAAGGAGTAGACAGTGTCATCAGTGACCGCTTTGCTCCTTCTGTAGTCGACGCAAATTCGTGTTCATCCGTCCTTTTTCGTGACTAAAACCAAGGGACTGCGCGATGGTTGCACAATCTTGGCATCGATGAGATTCTTGATCATCGCCTTGACGACATCACGCTGCGCCGGCGACAGTGGATGTGGTCTCTGGGAGATAGGTGTCGCATTACCTGTTGGAATGGAGTGCTGCTCAAGCCGACTGTTTCCAACGTCAGTGCTGGTTCGTGCGAAGCAAGCCAAGTTTTTCGCAAGAAGCTCTTGAACTTTTTGAAGCTCTTCAGGTGCCAGCGTTGAACCAATGTTGAACGAGACACCCTCAACCGATAGCGGTTGATGTTGAGGGCCGACGCTTTCCGAAGCATTTGGGCGATCCAGGTTCTCCGACGAAGGCAGGCTTGAACAACTTAAGATGGGCGCAGTTTCGTCGTCGCTAAGCTCGATGTCTTCGACACTTGTGACCCTCCTAGCGACTCCGACAGTAGCATCAGAGGGTAGAGCCACTGGTCGAGACGACGGGTTGGCCAGGAGTACGTAGAACGTGCTATCGGTCTTATCCATAACCATGGGTTCAACTAGAAGGCAGAGACGGTCGTAGAGCAATTTTGTGCCGCTCACCTCTATCTTTGTTGATTGTTCTCGGACGAGATTCTTCAGGCGTGCTTGAACAAGCTTTCGTGAGCGCGGAGGTATCAGCTGCTCCGTAACCAAGATGACCTTATGACATGTCGTAGGCGGAGGAATGGAGAAGCTATTTGCGCCCCAGATCATAGCCTTGCATGCAGTAAGGAAATCGTCACCAAGGAGCAACTTTCCTTCCACCAGATGTGGGACCACGATGAATGCCTGGTTCAGCGTCTGTCCGTCAGCTGTCACTGTGGCAGTCACTTCGCCGAGGTTCGTGAGGAATTGACCACTTGCACCATGGAGACGGATGGAAGAAGGTTGAATCAGAAAGTGCAACTGGTTGGCGATGGAAACGTTGATGAGACTTCTCATTGCCCCTGAATCCAAGAAAGCTGTCAGAGGCTGTCCGTTTAGTTGAACCTTTATGGTTTTGGTACCCACTGCTGCGCCACATGGGATGCGTCGAACTACTGATGACCTCTCGCAGGCGTCAGAGGCATGAGCTTGTCGTGTCCCTGCGTCAGTGCTGCCGTGGACTCGAAGCGCTGTTGCCACTCCGAAAATTCTGGTGTGAGCTCCTGCCGACACCGCGTGACAAAGTGGCCGCTCTTCTTACAATTGAGGCACAGCGGACGAACTTCCGGATGACGAAATGAAGAACGCCGAAAATTCTGCGAAGCTTTTGACGGGCGTTGGGGCGACACTTGCTGCTTCTCTTGCTTCTCGCGTGGAGAAAAATGCTGCTGACAATGACCGTCGTCCACGTTCTGACGAGGCGGCGACCGGTCTTGCTTCAAGAGCGGGAAGGAGGACGCTTTCTTGGTTACCTTCGCAGCCTGTGCTGGCTCTGCAGCTACCGTCAATGCCGGTGTCTTTGGTTGGCTGAAGACTACCAGGTCGAAGCGGAGGAATGAGTCGAGCAACTTAACCAACGAAGCAAAGTGTCTATCGAAATAGTGCTTTTGTGGTTTATCAGACACTGTTGCCAGGATAACCCTGCATTTCTCCGCCTCCGTCTCTGGGTAGTTGCACTCGTCGATGAGCTCCAGTTTGCAGAAGGCGAAGTCTGTGCAGGACTCCCCCGAACGCTGACTTGCGCCGAACATCTGTTTCGCTCCAACTTCGTTGTCCAGGTTGTAACGACGACGGAAGGCGGTCTTCATTTGCTCCCACGTCGTTACCTTGGTTGTCTTCAGGTGGTACCTCACCCACATGAAGTCCTTAGTTGGTAGCTTGGATACAATCAATGGGATGGCCTCACTTGGTGCGACTTTAAACGTCTGGAACCAGATATCCCTCTGGTAAAACCAGGCGATGACGTCCTTGCCTAGCTGAGGAACCGAGCTGGCTGCCACGTTGATCAGCGACTTTGTTGGCCGGTCTGGCGTGACTGCAGTATCTGCGGCTGACTCAGCTGTAACAGGAGCTTTTTTTTGGGGTGCCTTGGGCCTCCTTTTCTTGGCGGACTCGCTCTCGGAAAGGTCTTCGTTAGAGATTGCGCTGCACAGCGATTCTGCCGACGAAGTTCTCCTCATCTTTGCCTCGAGCTCATCAAGACGATCCACGAAACGTGGCAGCAGTCCGCAGATCAAATTCTCTGTTGCCTGTAGCTGTCTGTTGGTGGCGTCGTCGCAAGGATGCGATATGTTCTCCAGCCGGTCGATCGGTTGCGGAGAGGTCGCGTTCTTGAGCTCTGCTAGCTGTAGGCGTAGCTGCTCCGCCTCGGCTTCCAGGATCTCCGTGTCGCTGACGACTGATTGGTATGCGGCGTCCTTGGCGTCGTCATCTAGCCTTCGGAAAGCTTCGATAAAACGTTCCGCCATCTTGGAGTTACCTTGAAACCTTGGCCGTCCAGGCGACAGTGGTTGGTGGAGACCTGGTCGAAGTGAGCGCCGTTCCCACATAGGTTGTTAGCGTGAATTTTCTGAAGACCCGGGTCCCTGTTCGGGCGCCATATGTGGCGATTCGTTGTGGTCGTCAAGAGAAATGGGCTCCGAGCTCAGAAAAGACACGTCAACCTCCGAGATTCCATGCGGAACTTCCCTTTTCTTTATTATTTTGATCTCTTTCCCTCGCGCTCGCACGAGCCGCGCGAGTCGTCTTTTGCGGCTTGTCACAAACGGCTAATTCGGAAAGGCATCAGTTTTTTTTTAATGGTGGCAATTAATACGCCATAGAGTAATTGCTTTATTCTCGCTGCCAAACCATTTAACACATTGAACTTATAAAGCATTTATTTGTATCGGGTTTATTACTCAGAGAAATGACCAGATGACGTCTCGAAAGACAGCACAAGCTATACAGAAGCACCAGATGAACTTCAGAGCGGGTGCTGCACTTTGTTACCTCCTTTGAGTGAGGATGTAGTGTGTATACCTCCTGTAGTGAACAAGAATTCCTACATTCGGGAGAAGCGGGACTAGCCCTTTCTTCAAATGCGTCAAGTCTCCTTGATCTTCGGGACACAGAGAAACGCCAGTCTTCGGCGCTAATCCCACAGTTACTCGGCCTCTCTTACGTTCTGTCTGTTCGCCCCCTGCGCCTCGTAGCAGTGTTGTTGCAGTGGGGGCTGGTTAAAATTTTGGAAGGTGTTGGACTATCCAAAATGCTTTCTCCCCCCTCCCTTTTCTACGCCACATACTTCCCCCTCTGCAAATATCAGCTGATCTTCGAACATCTTATCTCTGTTGATAGGCAAAACAACTACAAACATTTGAAAGTAATTTGTAATTTGAGAAGTCACTCGGAAAAGTAGTTAAAGTAAACTACTAATTACCAAAATAGAAATGTAATTGAAAGTTACTAAACTACTCAGAAAAGTAGTTAAACTACAGTAACTTGAGTAAAGTAGCTGAACTACGTACAAGTTTGGCTGGCAGGAGCTCTGCGTAATGGTTTTCACCTATCTGCCTAGCTCCGCACACCACCACATGGGCCTCTTCCTGTATGTGTAAATAAGATTATTATTATGATTATTGGTATGATTATTATTATTACAATTTTGTTATCAGCTGACAAGTAGTTTGTACCAAGACAGAAAATTATTGCCTTTTATTTCGCGTTATTTCTCAATTTCCATGTATCTGCAAAAGACTAAACACAGGACTATCATGCTCGACGTTGCACGTCCGACATTCCTAACTTTCCCCAACTTCCTAAACGTCCGTGTGTGTCTTAACACCAGAAACTGGAATTCAAAGATTAAAAACGTAACTTGCGAATATGGAACGTATACTTTCGTGTATTTATGCAACGTATATTTAGTCATAACTGTGTCAATATATAGCACCACATGTTGTATTAAAGTTAAGAAAAAAAAACATTAACCTTTTTTTGTTAGAAAAAAATAAATATCAACGTTAAGTCTGGTAACAGCGTATTTTTTCCAAATCATTGCCGATTCTTTAGAAAAGTTCGGCTAAAGTTGCGCCGAATTTTCGATTTGGCAAAAGTTTGGCCGATCAGTAATAAAAATATGCGACCCGGGGGGAGGTGTGTAGGGGGGGGGGGGGGGTGGCCACCCCACTCAGAAACAAGTTGGTACGCCACTGCCTATTCATTAAAGCTATTAATTTAACCGGTGACAATCTCAGCATTTTTTCAGCGTTGCTAGTGCGCTATTTCCTCCTCGGAAGTGTGAAAACTGGAAACAGTATTTTGGCGCTCGTGAACTCCGTCCCTTACTAGAAAGCAATGATACGAGCAATAATCATTCGGTGAAATGGGTGAATCTACAAAAGCGTTTCCTAGACGGGATGTTATCGCTTCCCTGCATAGCACCACTCAGGTTGGGACGACGCGCGGAAGTTGCTCCGCTTTAAAATACATATTTTTTTGTTTCGAACGATGCTCTCTTTAATGATTTTTTAGTATATTCCTCTCGCCGTAGCCTCCTCTATACTCACAAAGCCTGGCGGTTCGACGATGGAGCCATACAGTGTCCGGTCGCAGATTCGGAGCGCGAGGATCTCGTAGCACAGAGCTCAGTGGCACAGAGCATCAAACAGCCATTGCTCGGCGCACCTAGAGTGCCTTCATGCCCACGCCCGCTTTTGCGTGAGGAGTGATATCTCGGCCATTTTTCCGCCCAATCGTTTTTTTATGCATTTTGAAGTGCGCGCAATCCGGTGTCACTCAGCTCGAGCGCGTTGCTTTGTCTAATGCATAGACGTCATTTTACCGCCGAAGTCACGCACCGAGTGCGTGAGAGCGTCACGCGCTGGCACATTCAGGGCAACAATGGATGTCATACAAAAATGTCACATGGTCGGCTATAGAAAGTTCTTTGTATGGTCGACTTTAGCTATTTGGCTCAATTTGCTAAAGAATTTTCTATGGCTGTCTTTAGCATTTTTTATGGTCGCCTTTATGGGCCTCTTTAGCTTTGTCTATGGCCCTATCGCTGTCCGGCTATAGCGCTCTTCAGCTTTTCTGATGGCTGGATAAAGACTCCTTTGTGGCTTTTCCTATGGCTCTCTTTAATCTGCGGACCCCCCCCCCCCCCCACACAAAAAAAATTTAGTTCAAGTTCCCCAGACTTGTGAACGCTACACATCTATGTATAGATATGTAAATTTATGTATACATATACATACATCTCTGTATGTATATGTATACATACAAAGTATACATACATCTCGATGTATGTATACATCTCGATGTATGTAGATTTACATACAGAGATGTATGTAGATTTACATACATCTATGTATAGATATGTGTAAATCTATGTATACATCATCTCCGAACACACAGAACGCAACGCATATCTACAAGCGCTATGTTCGCACTAGCTCTATATATGGCAGTCTAATTTTTGAATCCGACTTTGCCGGTGACCCATCATTTGTCGCAAAAGCACGGAGAGGCGGAGCAAACATTACTCGTACTTAAAACATTATTTGAATTGTCTCTTGAAATAGCCCCCATCTCTTAACTCAAAACCCTGAAAAAAGCAAATATAGATCATTAGGCTAATTAACTAAAATTTATTAATTATCTTTTTAATAAGTTTGATTAATCACGTCGACAATGCAGTGATGACATGCAGTACACTGGTACTGAAGATTGCAGTCAATCTATTGCTTTATTGCAGTGCTCGGCGCCAGTGTAAGTTATTTTCAGTTTTGGGGGTAATAATTAATTTTAATTGTTGCACAAGTATTTTAATGGATTTTTTCAAACAAACAATATTACTGGTTTTCACGACTCGTTGCAACAGCAGAGAACATATCTTGGGTCATGGTTGGTCACCGGCCTGACAGAAATTTAGTATTGATTTATTTTCTAACGTGGAGTGTTTTTACTAAAAAAAGTAAGTGCCGGCAGCGATTTTCTGTAGGCGTGGAAAGATAATTTATTGGTTCTTAGTC